TGAGTGTGTGTGTGTGTGTGTGAGTGTGTGTGAGAGAGAGAGAGAGAGAGAGTGAGAGAGAGAGAGAGAGAGAGAGAGAGAGAGAGCGAGTGTTCATTCCTCCATTTGAGATTTACAAACAAAACAAAGCCCTCCCAAAAATGCCGATGCTCGATCGCTGGCGCATGAATTACCTATGACTTTTTTTTTAAATTTCTGATTGATGCGTTTTTCAGCTTCTGTATTGTAATATCTTTGATGGTGCTATTCATCAATACTCTCTGGTTCTTATTTTGATCAGCGGATGTTGACAAACTATTGCGAGGAAGGCAATTGTCAAACTTTCTTCAGTAACGGTTGCATGATCAGTTGTACGCGCTTTCTAGTTTGAGCTTGTAGGTGGTTGGCGGGTGCTCTGATGTGGTTTGCTTCTTCTTTCCTATGAAACATCTACCGTCCATATCTCCCCCTTCTTCTTTTTTATGTTTGTAGCTCTCTTGTAACACCTCTTATCTTCTGGCTCTCATATGACTTTATGCAGTTTCAAGTGCCGTAAAAGACTTACTAAGAGTAAATTCATCATCGGATGTTGACAAACTATTTCGAGGAAGGCAATTGTCAAACTTTCTTCAGTAACGGTTGCATGATCAGTTTGACGCGCTTTCTAGTAGGAACTTTCGCTGACTACCTTTGTGTGGTGAGGCGCTGTCCCCCTGGTACAGTAATTGTGGGTGTTTTGCGCCCCTGTCGACACGATTTAGATCACAGGAGCGGCGGGCTGGATCGTCGAGCCCGTCTGCCAGGGCCACCCAGGTTGAGAGGGACGGTGGGTGGGTGGCGGGTGCTATCTTGTGGTCTGCTCCTTTTTTTCCTAACAAACATCTATCGTTGTCATCTTGACACTTTCCTTTTTACGTTTGTCACTCTCTTGTAACAGTTCTAATCTTCGACACTCATATGACCTAATTATGTTGCAGGTGCCGTAAAACTGTTACCGCAGGTGGTTGTCGGGTGCTCTGATGTGGTTTGCTTCTTCTTTCCTATCAAACATCTATCGTCCTTATCTCCCCTCCTTCTTCTTTATGTTTGTTACTCTCTTGTAACACCTCTAATCTTCTGGCGCTCAAATAACCTCATTCAGTTGCGAGCGCCGTAAAACCTCTACTAAAACAAAACTCTTACTAAAACTAGACTAAAAAAACATCAATCGTTGTCATCTTGCCACCTTCTTTTTCATCTTTGTTACCCTCTTGTAACAGTTCTAGTCTTCGACACTCGTATTATTACCTGATTGTGTTGCAAGTGCCGTAAAACGTTTACTAAAACAAACCTTGAGAAGGATGCAATTTCCATACACGACAGATGGCGTGTACTTACTTTTACTTTACTTTTTACTTTTTCATACTCTGTTGGAGATACTCGATAAAATACCTCCTCACAATAAGGGAATCGAACTCACGTCTTCTACGTGCGACCGCGAAGCGCCTGACTGCTACATATTGTGTCGCATGTTCACGGAGGCCAGTGTCGTCGTCACATGTAAAGCTGTCTAGCCGTTGATCCTGCCGTGATCCCAGGTATCACTCTCTTGTCGTCCGCTAAGTCACACCTGCTGTGTGGTCTTCCCATTTACCGTGTGCTAAATGTCTTTACTCTCTTTATCCATCCTCAGGTGAAAAGCTGTGCGGATGGTTGGACGGCGCCACTGGTAGGTCCTATTTCTTTTACTTTCTCTCTGTTGTGTCTTTCTGTCTGTGTGTCTCAACGTGTATAAACTAGGTTGCTGAAGGTTTTAAAGTCTTACCAGAGTTTGACAGTAATGTTACTGTAAACCCTCTTTGGTCTTACTGGACACGAAATAATCTTTGCTCGGGCAGGTATTTTGTGCAGGTGGTTAAAGATCGCCACTGGTAGGTCCTATTTCTTTTACATTTGCCCTGTGTGTGTCTCAACGTGTATAAACTGGGTTGCTGAAGGTTTTAAAGTCCTACTTGTGGGAGGTTGGCGGGTGCTCTGGTGTGGTTTGCTTCTTCTTTCCTATCAAACATCTATCGTCCTTATCTCCCCTCCAGATCCTTCTTTTTTGTGTTTGTTACTCCCTTGTAACACCTCTAATCTTCTGGTGCTCATATGACCTCGAGAGCCGTAAAACCTCTACTAAAAAAAATATTTTTTAAATCTACCAGAGACGCCCTACCAGCGCCAGTGGTGTAGTGGTTTGACACTTGGCCGTCGCACATAGGCCACCCAGTTCGAATCTCGAGTGGGGAGAACTTTTATCGAGTGTTTCGCTCTTTCTCCGGGGATGTTGCATGCATCCCTCTCAGGCCAGGTTAGACCACCCTCTCTGGTTAGACTTGACAGGCAAGATCGAAGCCCGCCTCCTAAATGCTCTAAACTTTGTCGATGACGACGTAAAAACCACGCCACCCAGTGCCAGAGCTGCGACAGACATCGGCGGTCATGGTTCTCCATTTATTCCTTTGCTAGGATGCTCTAAAAAAAAAAGCTACGTTTCCTTGATCTTTCCCTGTTACCCATTTACCCAAGTACATTAAGAAAATATGCACCCTCCAGCCCTTCGCATGTAGCCCCAAACACGACAATGGTTTTAGAGCTTGTG